AAAAAGGCGAGTCGAACAGATAGAATGGACAAGGCGAAATACAATCATACACTGGCTAAAGGGACGCTAAACGAGGCTTTTATACGCGCGTGGGGACGCTAAAATATCTGATTACAAACCAATCGAGAATAGACAACAACGTAACCACATCCGTAACTAAAGTAATTCGTAACAAACAAATCAAATTCCACTTAGGCTGAATGAATCGTTTGAGTATCCTTAACAGTATTGGATCAACTAATAATCTCCAAATTGATGTTTTTCTTTATTTTTGTCACGTGTCGACTTGTTCTTGCATTGATATTGTAAGAAAAAAAATTTTCTTGGTCACTAATGCGAGCTAAACGGTTCACAAACTGCACGCTCGGGTTCAAAATACTTGCACAAATATTTATAGGAAAACCGGCGCTGGTCAAGTTTCGTAACAATAGCATCCCATAACTATGTTAAGACTGTTAAGCACGGGTAAAATTGATTCATTTTTAATATTCACTGCTTCAGTATCAAAATATACAATTTTCTTTGAATATTCTTAATCGCTTTAACTAGTTCGAGATCCCAATATAAAATATGGAAAATATATATTTATTTTCAATAATATAAATATTCCTACAAAATTGATGAATTATACTAAAGAAATCCTAGTATAAAGGTTTGTTCAGAAAATTATTTTTTCCTAAGACATTTTCAAGCTCTCGTATGAGCCCGTGCTAAAATCATGTGGATCAGATCTGAACGAAAGGTCACTATTAATGACAACTGAACCCCTCTCCGTTCCCCCTGGAAACCATTTGATGCCCCCAAGGGTCTCCCTCATCCGCCCCCTTCCCCGCCTGGCGATAAACAATAACTGGTCCCTTGTCGGAAAATGATCCTGGAAACTAAAGGACAATGATAATGATTCCGCTAGGAGGTTCATGACGCAAGACTACTTTTGTCTTCGGAGAAAATTCCATGTTGTTGGTGATAACTTAAGGGGTTAACATTGACAAAGCGAAGAGAAATTCAACTGGTGTCCTCTTAAAAAAGGGTCGTTAATTTGTTTATTATTGCAAAGTGATTACTCCACCCTTGAAAAACAGTATTCCGATTTACCGCAGTTCGGCAATCGTTTAAATTCCTCCGGCTTTTAATCAAAACTTGGCCTTGTAAATTGAGCTTAGGCGTGAATGAGCAGCGCACTGCGATCCGGTGTTTAATTGAGATGCGATATGCGTCAAATCGACAAAGTACAGCACTTAAAACAACACATCAATCTACGTTGCTCCTTCACTAAAGCACATCCCTTTAGTTCTGTTTTCTAGCACCCTAATTTGAAAAATTAGCTTCCATTGCCAATTTACAACTAACAATGCACTCATTTCTTTCGGGGTCTACCGAGCTCGTCCTTTTTAATGATATTAGTCTCGGGTTGATTTCCGTTCCCATTCTCTTCTCCGTCGTTAGCATATAGAGCGTGTGGTTCGTGCTCGTCAGTTGAGATGTGAAAAATCCCCTTGGTATTATCCTTAGACTGGGCCTCATAGGGGGACATCATCGCAAAACGATCAAGCTCCGCATCCCCAATTGGGCCCCCCGTGTCGAAATTGTTTCCCAGACTTAACCCCCCACCTGTGTTTTCACTGGGAGATTCCGCCGTATTAGACATCCCGAACTGATCGTTCAACTGTAACGGACCTCCCATACCACCTCCAGTCATAACCATCCCGTAGTCCCCTCCGTCCGACATCCCATCCCCCATCGTCATGCCTCCCACGGGAGCCCCGCTCGGTTCCACAGATCCAACATTAATCGGAGATCCGGGTTCCGGTTTTGAATCCTCTACAGGATTTGGTTCATCATTATTGTCTAACTGTTCCGAGTCCAGGGAGCTGTTTCCCCGGGCTGACTTCTTCAGAACAAAGTTCAGCTCTTTGGCATCTCCCTCGGTTACCGTAATATCCTTTGATAAAGGCTCGTATCCTACGGCCATGGCAGTGACTTTGTAGCCCCCAGGGAGAAGAAGACGCCAATAATCCCCATCTTTTGCGGTTATAATGTCTTTTTTACGATTGTCAACACGGATATGTGCACCAAAAATTGGATTTCCTTGGCTGTCCTTTACAAACCCTTTAACTCCCTTGTGCGCCTACGCACAACAAAAGGCAAGAAAAGTTAGTCCACGAAATTTGTGAAATTGGCTGTCATGTTTATCAACCACAGAAAAAATCTTTTTTCAGAGCTGCTTTAATAAAATTATATTCTATAGAAAAAAGGTTTGCATGCACATTTACTGGTGTAGTATTGTTCCAAAAAATATGGCTCACAGTTGATTGAGCTCGAAATTGTATTGCTATTTTCCTTTTTATTGCGTTAACCTTGTCAGTATTTCGCTACGTTTTTCCGAAACCGTTTTTCTTTACCCTTTAATTCAATTGCCGGAAAGTAATCTAATAAAATATTCAAGTCTTAATGAGTAGCAGTTGATCGACCATACCAAACAAACAAACAACCAAAAAAATAATGAAGCACTGGCTCAGAACAATATTTAGCTAAACAGCTTTTGTTTTGAAATTCCATGCTTATATTTTCAATCACAGCGGCCACATACCTGATCGATATAAGCTATCAGCGCTTGCTTGTTTTCCTCCCAGTCCTTCGGTAATTGACTTGCCTCTGGGAACTTCTTACAGCCTTGCTCTATGGTTATCTCGAAGCAGTTTGAGTGCATGTAGTTATAGTCCTGCATCCCCCCTGACACGCTGTACCAAGCTGCTCCATTTGTGACGCCATCATTGAAGTGATCCGGAGGGACCTCAGGGCAAGGCCAGGGTGGATTCTTGAGGTGCATAGTTGGATGCACCTCAGAATAGGATTTGGCAAGCTCTTTGAAGACGTCGTCATCTGGAGACTTGCTGTACTCGCTCTGCCCCGATGGGCTGTCATCGAATGGATAATTTGCCACTAAGGAGCCGCCATGGAGGTTAGCACTTAACACAAAGGGATACTCAGAGATCCACTTCATCACAGCTATCGTTTCGACTTGGGGCGGCCCCGTCACGCTCTTAAAAAACTGGTCAGGAAAGTTACGGTTCAGATCAACGTTGTTCGCATTGCTTCGTCCGATGATCCAATCCTTCCTGTTCTCACCTTCTGCGGCGAGTTCGTACCCGTCCGGGTTCATACTTGGCATCAAGTGAATACGAGTGGTGTCCACCATTTTGGTAAGGTTCGCATCTCGACCGTAATTTTCACAGAATGCTTTCGCCAGATGCAAGAGAAGTTCGCGTCCTACAACATCGTTCCCATGCATGTTAGCAACATACTTGAACTCGGGTTCTCCGGGTTCGTGTTTACCTGGGTTGTCAGAGATTTCTACGACCCAAAGTTTTCGGCCTTGCACCGATTTTCCAATGCTATAGAGACGAGTGATTTTCGGGTACTGTCGATGAAGATCTTGAAGATACGCGGTCATCTGATCGAAATTATGGTGCGTCCAGTCGTCATCGCCTAGCGTGCGTGTTTTTGCGCTGGGACGTGAGAAAACAAGAGTCACCCGTAAGTAAATGAAATATGCCACCAGAAGCAGTATCAATCGCTCCATTGTTCCAAATAAACTGCTCGCAAAAGCTTTTTCGCGAGGAAATGTTAAGCTCCTCGCTCTAAACTCCTGGCTATAACTAACCCATCCTTAGTTAAAGCTTCTTAACCATAAGCTCCGCCCTCCATCACGTCATTTTTCGAGCTTTTCCTTTTCTGATGCACACGAGCTAAAAAGCGAAACTGACCGGCTCGAACTCGATCTGTGATTGGCTAATCAGCAGCAAATGTCACGCAATTATTGAGCTCAGTTGCAGGTTGTGTTTACTTTCCTCTCATGAAGTGACTGAGCCTGATTGAGTGTTCAAACCAAAATAAACAGGTCTCTGGATTTAGCCGTGACTACAAACATTACTCCGTCCCCTCTTGAAACAATTTCGTTTCATTGGTCTTCGTTAAAGATGAAGGAAATGTCCAGGTGGTAACCTTTTAGAAGAATCCATCGCCTAGGGAATTTTGGGTCATCCTCGGTGTAAAATCCTGACGAAGTTTTCTTTGCCTCATGAGGTATTGTTTTGTTGTACGCTATTGTTTATATTGTTTTGTTGTCTTTGTTGTACGTCACTCGTGAGCTTCACATGTTTTTACACCGAGGATGAGCCGGAATTTTGGTTCGCTTAGTAAATTTTAACTTTCACTGAAGACATCAAATAGTTCGGATGCTGGCTTCTCCTAACGGATGTTGAAATTGATAACCTCAAACTGCGAGATAATTTTGCAACTGGGACATTAATAACGCCGTAATAGAAAGGAGAGAATTAGGGAAAGAAGAGAAAAAATTAAGTTGAAAACTAAATACTTCATTTGAATTAGTATCAAACTTTGTTTCCCCCAATTTCTTTTTGACGGTGTGAACGAACCACGAACACTGAAAGTTGGCACCAGTAATACAAGGATATAACCCACCCTGTCATCATTGATAGAAGTAAAACTGAGGAACATGTCTAAAATCGTCAAGTCAATTCTTAAGGTTGAAAATGACTAACATCCATTCTCAAATAGCCTCAATTTCTGCAATAATTTATTTTTTCACTTAAGAAACAGTGACTGCTACAAAAGGAGTTTACACCAAATAACTTATGCATACCACATGGAGCGACCATAAAAACTATATACATACTTAGTATATAAAGCACGGCGTAAGGTTTCCTTCAAGGAAAATCGGTCGCACAATAAAAAAGCTATTTGCTACTAAGAAACAACGAAAGCCGTATTAAAATACATCTTAGTGAAGGTTTCTAAGTGCATGTATCTACAAATATCCTGCTATTTACGGAGAAGCTTCCCGGGACATTTCGCTGCTTGTCCTGTCGCTTTCTATCTACAATCGCCCCAGTGCTTCTCCGCTTGATTGCTGTTCACAACTGCAAGTAATTTTCCACTAGTGCTCTTTCACTAACTTCAATACTCCACTAAGTAGGGATGAACCTAAAGTTGTGGGCCACTCACACAAACTTGCATGCGTGAACAACATATCACAATCTCATCTCAGTTAAAAACAACTGACGTTTAGCCAACAATTTCTAGATAAACATTTTCTCTCTAAAAAAGTTTGAACCGCTTTCAAACCACGATCTGAAAAGTAAATGTTTCATAATAAATACCATGTTAAAAAAGACGTGATAAGAACTCTGGATGAAGTACGTTGGAGCAAAAAGTACGACTTCGAAATTTTAAGTGACTTAGACAAGGAAAATTTCAGCAGTGACAACGAGGGATGTGTCTCATAGATATCATCAAACCATATGAAAAACGTAACTTGAAATATGATTTTAATCGCATTATGTTTGGCCTAAACAAGCTTAAACACAACTGAGAAGAAAATGACTTAGGTGTTTGACTAAAACTTACAGACGGTGCGGCTGATTTCTGCAAGAAAACTACAGCTGGATAGTACCAAATCATCTAAGATAGCGCAGTTTTCAATTGACTGTTGATAGTAATACGGGATCGCTTCGATTTTACTTAACTTCGCTCTGTGATTGGTCCAAAAGACTCGTGCGATCTTCTCAAGCAATCAGATGCAAAACTAAAAACATTCACAACTTGGTCATTCGCGTTTTCCCGCGTTTCAAGCAGTTTGCATGTTTTCACGTCGACTTCTCATTGGCTAATGAGAATGTAAACCTCTAATCTGATTGGTCACTGAGATTTGGTCGTTCGCGTTTTCCCGCGCTGCAGGCAGTTTGCTTGTTTCACTTTGTGTTCTCATTGGCTAATGATGACGTTAACTTTTGTTCTGATTGGTCACTGGGATTGCTTTGGTTTTTGGGCCTTCAACTGAAAACTGCTCTATCACGTTTAAATATCGTGGTTTAATTTTATCGCTGCATGAAAATGTCTTTGATTTAGTTTTTGTTTCAAACCCAAGTTTCGAGCAATGGTAACATTGAGCCACAACATACACATTAACGACTGCAGTATAAAAAAGATTCAAAGGAAAAATATCTTCATGAACTGCGCAGGGTTGTGCTATAAGGGTGTTTCTTCCAGTTTGTTTAAATCCGGGACGCGACCTCCGGACTTGCTTAAGTGCTCCTTTGGGGGTGTCAGCGGTTTCAGTCCATTGAAGGGAGTACCCAGCTTCATGTCTCGATCCTCAATTGCCGCCTCGTTTTCAGAAGGAGGTCGCGACGCTTTTCTTGGTAAAGGTGCCAAATGTTCCGTTGAGGGGCTGACTGGTCGGTCAGGAAAGGTAAAGTTCCCTGGCTCTGATAATGTGTGTTTGTGTGAGTGACCTTGTAGAGAGAACGCAGATTGTCCCATCCAAGGCGACAGAGATCCCAAGGGTTGAGAATCAGGGCTTTCGCGCTTAGCAGGTGGTTTGCGCGTCGGGTAAGTGTTGTGTGTCAAATGAGCTAAGTTCTTGTGTTGAAGAGGCTGAAGGCGAACTTCTCCAAGAGGTTTGTGAGATGAGCTGATTGTAAGAGGCCCAAGGTGTGTTACAACCTGTCAAAAGGAATGAGCACAATCGAGTCTGTTATCGTCAGATCAAACGCTCGTCCCTTGGGGTTTTTATTGGCGCCAAAGAATTAGCCCAGGAAACCCGGGCTATTTTGGAGCTATTTGCTCGAAAGAAGGGCAGCACTTATCTCTTCGGAAACTAGCCTTTTTCTAAAGCCTCAGTTTCCTTTGCTCGTGTTCGAAGTTACTCAACGAAGGATATCACAAAATTACTTCAGTCTTCCGATGGAAAATCAAGTCAATCACAAGAAGACACGAAGGCCAAACAATTAGCGAACTAGTAAAATCTGCTCGAGAAAATTCACTGAAGCTGCTAAAATCCCCCTTAAAATCCACAAGAGTGACTTCTTTCAACCTTACCTAGTCGAGGCAATTCTGAGAAACTTACCTTGTCAGTAGAGTTTAGTTTCCCTAAGGCTTTGTGAGGACGCATATCGAAGGACTACAAAAGAAGGTAACTGATTAGTTGGCAATTAACGCCCTTCTACATCAAAACTGAACGACAAATAAATCAATTTCTTCCCTAAAACATACTACAGACGGTTACATTGGATGAGCGCTAAAACTTTACCTGTACATCGGCACTTCTGCTCCAGTCCGCCATTTTACTTAATTCACTAAAGGCAAACGGACAACGAACAAAATGAAACTCAACCAAATTGAAACATACCGGTTGTTTTGTTGAGAGGAATGAAATACAGGATAAAAAAACAGAAAAAGTACATACACACACACACACACACACACAAAAACACAAAACAAAAGCAAAACGTGTAATTCCTTTAACCTTCAGAGGCGACTTCTTGAAATATCCTTTTATTGTAAACCAGGTAAAGGATGAAAACAGAAAAAAAATATATCCTTTTTGGAGAGACTACCAATTTTTTCCCTTTATGGCTTTACTTAACAACACATTCTCAAACTCTTTATAACGAATTCATTGTCTCGAAGCAAGTCGGGAGGATCAGTGGTCACAAAAATTTTGAAGTTGGAGACTTACACCACCCCCCAGGGGTGACAGGACTGGGATTTCTTTGTGATCTCAAGATTTTTTCACAATTTAGTCTTTAACAGTGAGACAATCTTGGTATTAACAACCAGCAGTCATCAGGTTTAATTGTGTCCACTTACCCCTGTGATTCCAGGTGATGAATTTGCTTTGATTGCACCGGTAAGCTGACCACCTGCGACAAAAATTAAGATTCAACACCTCCTTCCTTAGCGACCGACCGCAGCGAAAAAAAAAAACCCAAGCAAGTCAATCAATTTCAACCCAATTATCACAACAAGAAGCATATAGAACCTAAGTATATAGGCTTCTGTTGAAACTGATTGACGAGAGTTTCAGACTTTCAGTCTTTCGTGGTTTAATCTCGCGCTTTGTACTTGGTTTTATGCCCTGAGGACTTTTTTTTTTCTCTCTCTCTCTCTCTCTCCAAGTAAGCACTCGCAGATAAATATGTGGACTCATCCTTTGCAGAAGACTTCAGTGATTAGGTTTGCATGACGACGACTGTATTAAAACTCAACAACAAACTTTCCGGCATAATAAATTTTGAAAAGGCTGTAAGTAATTGGTTAAAATTAACCCAGCAGTGAGGTCTTAGCCCCAAAAAGAAAATACTGTAGAGGAGAACAAAAATTAATCGAGGATTTGTCAATACCGTTCCCAAAACCTATTTAACGGGATTTCCACATGACATTAGAATTTTAATGACGATTGCCGTGCCACGCCCTCTACTTCAACCCTCAACCTTTTCATGAACACATGCGTTGAAATCGTTCGACTGGAAAAAGGGGGAGAGTTGGTTTTTTAAGCGCTCTAAATTTAGTAGGTCAGCGCTTGGGAAACTGTATCCAACCAACTTAAATCGATCACCGAAGTAAATACTCTACCAGGCACTGTTACGCGCAAGTGTACCCAGAAAGAAGCAGTTCTCACTGTAATAAGAATAACATCAAGGGATGAACTGCACAGACCTGTTGCACTTTTTTCTTCTTTTTCTTTTTATCTCTTTTCTCTTGTCCTAGAGAGTTTCTTGGTTGGTTTTCCTCACCACCAAAATCTTGCCTCCTGAGTAAATAACCGTGAATTTAAATCAGTTATCATGTACACAAGAAGCTGCAAGTATCTACCACATACGTCCTATGGCAAAGGTTAACAACCATCATGCAAGGGAATTTGCCGGATTGAAGCGCTGAGGAGATAATCTCTTAAAAATTATTCTCGTGGTTTTACCAGACAATCAGTCACATACTTGGGACAAATTTCCAACTTTCCTGTACAAGGCTGGTAGGGCGAGGAGCGCCAATCCTGTGTGTTAACCACTTCCCCACAAGACATGTGATAACAATATTTATAACACGACTCGGGCAGTCAGAGGGCCAATAACTAAAATCAACCAATCAAAATGCTCTATTGCCGGTCCAATATTCTCTAAGTATTGGACCGGGCACTGTCCCGAATGGTCCCGAATGATACCGCACTTGTGTCCCTTTGAACTTCAGTCGTATAATAAATCTCTTATTAACCAAGCTTGCTCGGGACCGTACTGGAAGAATATCGGCCCTCGGTCTTTTTTGTACGGACCTCGCTGCGCTCGGTCCGTACTGTCAAGACCTCGGGCCGATATTCTCCCAGTACGGCCCTCGCGCTTGGTTAATAAGATATATATAGCGAGATAGATTTCGCCGAAGTTAAGAGGAAACAATAAAAATTGAAGAAAGGTATATCATGTGTGTGATTGATACTTCCCAATTTGGTCGTGCCATGTGCTTAGTGATCGCTCGTTGAGTGCGAGTGATTCTGAAGAAAGGAAGCCCTTGAAAATTGAAACGAGAAAATGATGGGTCACGATCATTTCCTTTAAGTCACCGTGCAGGTGAATTTGAAGTTTTCACATTGATCCACGTGCCAAGCAATGCCTTATTGCTGACACTTAGT